CTGATGGGTGCTCACTGTATCTAGATGGGTGCCCACTGTATCTGATGGGTGCTCACTGTATCTGATGGGTGCTCACTGTATCTAGATGGGTGCCCTCTGTATCCGATGGGTGCCCACTGTTTCTGATGGGTGCTCACTGTATCCGATGGGTGCTCACTGCATCTAGATGGGTGCTCACTGGGCACCAGACCCCTTGGATGTGCCAGCGGAAGTTGAAATTGTGAGGAGGGGCCTGAGCATACCTGGGAGGACACTCCAGACTGAGGGACCAGCCAGGGGGGATGGAGGGGAACAGTGTGCTTTTCATCCTGGTTGTCCTGTGGTGCAGAATAGACCACACTCTGCTGAGGTAAGGGTGACATGTTCAAAGCTACACAAGAGCTTGCTGGCATACAGCCCTGGTCAGAAGACATCAAGCTGGGGTGGCTCCCATCACCTTCTCTTGCTGGTCTCCTTTGGCTTGGGAGTTGCCGTCTCAAGGTCAGCAGGCTTTGGGGAAGGTCCCACACATGCATCTCAGTTTCAGAGCCAGGCTTGCCGTACTAGCTGCCCATTAGCACCTCCTGGGATACTTGGAGGCACCCCAAGGCCTGCCCCACCTATACGTTCCACCCCGAAGTCTCCAAGAACATAGTTTGTTTCCCTTTGCAGCTTACTCTAAGGAAGCTACCTTCTTCCTACCAGGGTCAGCGTGGCCCATTGCTGTGTCCCTTGGGGTGCCTGTAAGACAGGGGCGCAGGCAGGAGTATTGTGGACACTGACCTTTAAGAAAGAATGCAGTCCGGTAATGATGATGGCACAGCAGACGACAGCGCTGGCCACAGGAACTCCCGATGACCTGTGTTCAATCCCCTGAACCCGCGGAAAGAGGGGAGGAGAGAACTGACATCTCAAAGTGGTCCTCTGGCCTCCACACACATGCATGCCCAGACGCACACACCATACACATGCGAACACACACACACAATTCAATCAAGAGATGTAGGCGGTTTAAGCAGAAGTTGATTTATCAAGGTGAAGCAAAGCAAAGATTCCAAAGAGAGACTGGAGTGAGCTTTTGCTTTGTAGAATACAAAGAAGGTTTCATGAACATTCATGATGTGGGTAGCATATTCATGGAGGAAGGTGATCCAGATCACAATAGATCAGATCTCCATTTTAGGATTATTTCTTCCCATGAGTCTCTTGAAAATCCCACAAGGGAGGCTGGTATCAACACCACGAGGCAGTAACATTATGTATTATATATGTGGATAACATATTTTTAAGTAATATAAAATAATATCATGACATTTAATCTTTTGAGGATGCGGACCCTATGTGTGTGTGTGTGTGTGTGTGTGTGTGTGTGTGTGTGCGCGCGCGCGCGCGCACGCGCGCGCGTGCGCGCATGCGTGCGTGCGTGCCCTTGTGCAGCGGGAACAACCAAACTGGAGCCTCTAGCATATTCAACCACAAAGGAACACTGTGACCAGGAGACGTGGCTACCAACATGCACTGTCGTTTCCCCATAGCTGATTCTTGCCTATCTGGTATCAGGAAAAAAAATTTGGCTCTTCCAGAGACAACAGCTATGACAGGACTCCTGGGCTGGGGAGGGTGTCAAGGGCTCCCCAAGTTTTTAGTCGGCCCTTTGCAGGGAGTCACTGGGCTCTGCAGGGAGAGCTGTGGCTTCCGAGCTAACAGCAGCTTTTGTTTGTGATTTCCAGAGAAATACATGGAGTTTGACCTGAACAATGAAGGCGAGATTGGTGAGTGAGGCCTTGGAGGCAGAGCGGAGGGTGGGCAGAAGGCTTGAGAGCCAAAGGGCCTTGCTGGTCTGGCGAGGGGCCCTGGATGAGGCTAAAGAACACCCTGATATTTCCCCAATGGGACCGATGGCCCGGCCACCCTGTCACCAGCAGCAGGGGACCCAGGGCAATACTGAATTCTTCTCAAAGACTTCCACTGAGGTGGCTCTGGGATCTTAATCAACACAGCAAAGAAGAATTTCAGACTGAGCTGTTATCACTTATTTATGTATATGTTTGGTGGGGGGGCACACAACTTACGGGAGTCTGTTCTCTTCTGCAATGTAGGTTCTGGGGTCTGGGGGTGAAACAGGATTTCAGGCTTGGTGGCAGGCACTTTGACCTACTCAGCCATCATGCTAGCCACGGCCCTCTTCCGTCCTCCCTTACTTCCTCCCTCTTTCCTTTTTTTCTTTCTTTCTTTTCCTGTATTTTGAGACAAGGTTTTGCTGTGTAGTCATGGCTGGCCTGTAATCACAGAGATCCATCGCCCTATAGAAGGGTTTCCCACCATACCCAGCATCACCCCCTTTTCTTACTGTTCATGTTTGAATCCAGTTAAAACCTTTTAGTCAAGCTGGGCGGTGGTGGCCCACACCTTTAATCCCAGCACTCGCAGGCGCATCTCTGTGAGTTCGAGGCCAGCCTGGTCTACAAAGTGAGTTCCAGGAAAGGCGCAAAACTACACGGAGAAATCCTGTCTCGAAAAAACAAAAAAAAAAAAAAAAGCAAACAAACCAAAAACCAACAACCTTTTAGTCAACTCCAAATTCACTTCATTAAAAAATGAAATGGGGGTTGGATGGGGTGACTTAGTGATTAAGGGCACTGGCTGCCCTTGCAGACAACCAGGGTTCATTTTCTAATAGCCACACGGTGGCTCACAACCCCTAATAACTCTAGTTCCAAAGGATCTATCGCCCTCTTCTGGCCTCTGAGTGCACAGCACACACAATGCACATAAAAACACTCATACACATAAAAATAAAGATATCTTTTAAAAAATGAAAATAAAGAGGAAGGGCTGGAGAGATGGCTCGGCAGTTCAGAGTGTGTACTGCTCTTGCAGAGGACCTGAGTGTGGTTCCCAGCCCCCACATAAGATGGCTTACAAATAACTGTCACTCCTGGGGACCTGGCACCTTCTGGTGACCTGTGAGCGCTGTGCTCATGTACACAAGCACACACATAATTTTAAAAAGTACAGTAAAACATAGAGAAGAGAAGGACAGCAGTGGAAGTAGAGTAGTTTTCTCGAGAGAGAATTACACAAAACAAACCGAAGCTACCAAGAAAGGGAAACTTAACAATAGCTCTCTATGTGATTTCGGTGACTTTTGAGATTACTTCATTCAAAGGGTATAATAATCAATATCTAAGTTTTTTTTTTTTTTTTTTTTTTTTTTTGGTTTTTCGAGACAGGGTTTCTCTTGTGTAGCTTTGCGCCTTTCCTGGAACTCACTTGGTAGCCCAGGCTGGCCTCGAACTCACAGAGATCCGCCTGTCTCTGCCTCCCGAGTGCTGGGATTAAAGGCGTGCGCCACCACCGCCCGGCTTATCAATATCTAAGTTTAAAAGGTAAGTAAAAATGTTTTTGCATACTTCTTATCTGAAGAATTTGTCTTTTCATAAGTGAGATTTTACAGTACTTTATGAGGGCACTACACAGACTTAACAGACTGAAGAGATAAAATTGTAGGTCAATGGAATTCTTAACATAACATAGGTCACTAAGAGGTCAAGACATGTTCTGACTATAAACAGGGCCCATGGTCTTGTCTGGCAGATTTTTCTCAGAACAGACAACCGGGTGTGCTGGTAAAGTTAACCTCAAGGGTCACACACATTCTGACTGTGAGCATGGCCGGCCGGCTGTTCTGTCGGTCTTGTTAGGAATCTCCCAGGGACCGGAATACCGCCTCTATGCAGGATAGTCACAGCAGGTTTTTTTGTTTGTTTGTTTTTTCTGTCATTCAGGTTGAAATTCTTGACTCTGCCAGTACGCGACTCTAGGCGTGTCCTCAGGGCCAAGGAGCTCCTCTCCCTCCTCAGACCCCTTTACCTATCTTTCTATCCCACCTCAAGCCTAGTCCACTCTGGTCCCTTCTACCCTTGGCCCAGCGTCACTGCCTGAGAATGACCTTGGGTGCCTCCCTGCTGGAGCCAGAGCTTTCAGCCTAGACCTCCGTCCCACCCAGGCCTGTGGGGGCTGCTTGACTCCTGGACCAAGGGGCGGCTGCTTCCTTCTCCCCGAGTCTGCCGGTGCTCGCTGCTGTCTCTTGTCCTGCATTTTGCCGGGAGCGTGGACACAGCCTCTCCCCTCCAGCAGAACCCACTGCTTCCTGCCGGCAAGGTGCTGGGGTGGCAGAGGCGCGGGAGTCCCGGGGCACTTACATCCTGGTGGGAAACTGTCGTCTGCTCTTCACCAGCAGGGCTGGGCCGTGGTCCAGGCTGCTCAGTCATCCCCAGTTTGTGGGTGGGAAAACCAAGACTCAGAAGTGAAAGGATTTGGTGGGTCCCCAGTGTTGAGGGGTGGGCTTAGTCCCTGGATTGCTTCCGAGCAGGTTCTCTGTTGCTCTGTCCCTACCCAGGCTGTTCCATTGCATGAATGGGTTCACATGCATTCAGCCAACACCGGAAGAACTACCATTTAGAATTTTAGGCTTTAGATGATTTCATATTTTTGTTTTGTCTCATTTTAGTCCAGGCTGGTCTGTAACTCAGTATGTAGCTGAGGATGACCGTGAATGCCAGACCATCCAGTCTCCTGTTCTGGAGATTACAGGCGTGAACCATCATGCCCACTTTAAACGGAACCAAGGATGGAACCCAGGGCTGCGTGAGTGCTAGGCGCTCTACTGACTGAGCTTTGTCTTCAGTGGGTTTTTGTTTTTGTTTTTCTGGCCAAGGTTGACCTAGAATTCACTATGTAGCTCAGGCTGGCCTCAAGCAGTCCTCCTTCCTCGGCCTTCCCAGTGCTGGTTTTAGAGGCATGCACTACCACATTTGTGTTACTATTTCTGAGCTTTAAAAAAAATTTAAATTACATTTGTCATTGATTTGTTTATGTGGAGTGGCTGGACCACTACAGCGTGTGTTTGACGGTCAGAAGACAACCTGTGGGAGTCAAGTCCCTTCTGCCGTGTGGGTTCCAGGGGTCAAACTCTGTCTCAGGCTTGGCAGCAGGCACCTTTACCCATCTTGCTGAGCTGTCTTGCCAACCTACCATTTTCTGTTTTAACTGTTGTTGATCAGCTCACAGCGACCATCTCTCTAGATGGATCTGGTCCCCTCAGGGGTTATCTGTAGGGTAAATCTCACCGAGGAGAGGGGCACAGTGGTGGGTCAGGGCATTCAGCGGCCCCATGCCACATGCCTCCAGGAGAAGTCTTGCCAGTTTGAAGTCTGGTGGCTAGTGTGTGTGCCGTGAGCTCTTTTCCTCAGAAGAGCCTGGCAGCCCAGGAGCTTCGGACCTGGCACAAATGCTGCCCACCTCAGCCCGGCTGACAGTCCTGAGATCTGCCCCTACGCACCCTGGTTTGCTGACCCATTGTTCACTGTGAACAATTCCCAGGAAACAGCCTCAGATGCTGGTGGCAGCGGAGAGTGGGCGGAGGCCCCTGGCGGGGAGTGACTTGCTGGTACCTCCCTTGTTTTTCTCTGTTTTCTCCTTTTGTTGCTTTTCCTGCGCTGAGGGGTATTTTTGGCTCCCTGTCCTTCTAGCTTCGGGAAAGTCCTACAACAGCAGAATGGAAGTGGCAGGTGGCTCTGTGTCTCTGCTGTGCTGTGCCAGAGGAAGTTTGGCTTTAAGTGCCTGGGGACAGGCTAACTCCCAGGCACCCTGGCTCACCCTAACGCAGAGGACCTGCTGGGAGAGCATCGCATATATCATGTCTGCATAAGCATAGTTACCATTTCTTCCTTTTTCTTTCTCCTCCAAACTGATTGTATGTGCCTGCGTGTGTGTTCAAGTGTGTGTGGGCACACGTATACAAGTGTGTCTGTGTGTAGAAGGTAGAGGCTGGCATCAGGGTCTTCTAAATTGCTTTCCTCTTTATTTGTTTATATTTTTTGGACCTGGGTTTATTGATTTGGCTAGGCTGGATGGCCAGTGAGTCTCTGGGCTCCTCTTGTCTCTGCCTCCCCATCCCTGGGATCACAGGCTTGTGCCAGTGTGCTTGAGTATTTATTTGGGTTCTGGGGCTTTGAACTCAGTTCCTCGTGCCTGCACAACTTACTGACTGAGCCGTTTCCCCAGGCCTTCCTCATTATGTAGCCCAGGTTGGCCTAAAACCTGCACTGATCCTTGTGCCTCAGCCTTCCAGCTGCTGGGGTTGAAGACATGTGTCAGCCCTCATCCCAGAGAGGTGAAGCAGTCTTCCCCAGACCCCCAAGCCAAGAGGAGAGAAGCTTGATCCCAGCCCAAGTCTGACTCTAGAAGCCCAGGTCCCCACCTGCTGGCCTTTACTGCCTCTGAAGAGAGCAAGGAGGACTCACCCCTGCGACTGCAGGAGAATCATCACTGGCTGCAGCCTGCAGGGAGAGTCGGTCACTGTTAGCTGTGTGTACAAGAATGGGTCATCTCTGGCTCCCTACAGGGCCTCAGTGTCCGGTCTCCACTCAACAGATCTGCTTTTCCTCCTGGCAGATCTGATGTCTTTAAAGAGGATGATGGAGAAGCTGGGGGTCCCCAAGACCCACCTGGAGATGAAGAAGATGATCTCGGAGGTGACAGGGGGCGTCAGTGACACCATCTCCTATCGAGACTTTGTGAATATGATGCTGGGCAAGCGGTCGGCTGTCCTTAAACTGTGAGTACCTCCTCACCTCATGGGTCTCAGAGGCAAGGACATCTTGTGGGGAGAGGCCCCAGGCTCAGGACACTTGGGCCATCCCCTAGAGGGTGGACAATTCATTGTGCTACTTGCAAAGTGAGGAGCTAGAGTTTTCTGAGCCTGTTTTCCTTACCTGGAGAGATTAGCTTCCACTGGGGTGCATGGCAAACCCCAAGACTGGAGGCCTCATGAATGACAAAAATAATAGCGGCATTGTCTATCTTTTTGTTTTGGTTTTTTGAGACAGGGTTTCTCTGTGTAGTCCTGGCTGTCCTGGAACTCACTCTGTAGACCAGGCTGGCCTTGAACTCACAGAGATCCGCCTACCTTTACCTCCCGAGTGCTGGGATTAAAGATGTGTGCCACCACTGCCCGGCTTTTTGTTTTGTTTTGTTTTTTAAGGTTTTTGAGACAAGGTCTTCAGAGTCTTAACTGTGTACCCATGTAACTCTGGTTGGCCTGCTACTCAGAGTGTGTAGCCCAGGCTCTCTTCAAAAGTTGTGTCAATCCTCCTGCCTCAGCCTCCCAAGTGCTGAGATTATAGGCATGCAGTTCCATACCAGACCTGACTATGGTTGCCCCCTCCCTTCCTCCCTCCCTCCCTCCTGTATAAAAAGCTTGGAATCGGAACCAGGACCTCATACATGGTAGGAAAATGCTCTAACCATTGTGCTACACTCCTACCCCTCCTGTCAACATGTTCTGAACCTGCTTCCTCATTTGTAAAGTGTATTCCTACTCCCTTTGGTTGTGGTGAGTTGACAGTCTGTAATCTGCTCTAGCTGGGCATGGTAGGGCACATCTGTGTTTTTAGCACTAAAGCAGTAGATGCAGGAAGGACAGGAGTTTCAAGGCTATCCTCAGCTACATAGCAAATTTAAGGCCAGCCTGGGCTACCTAAGACCTACCTCCAACCTCTTTCACTACCTCCCTCCCTGAAAAAGTCAACTCTACTTTGAATCCTGACACTGTTACTTGTTCCCTAATGACTCTGAGCGGGTTATCTTTGACCTTGAACTTTGGTTTCTTTTTTCTTTGTGTGTGTATGCCTGTGTACCCGTGTGTGTCCGTGTGTGTGTGTCCGTGTGTGTCCGTGTGTGTGTGTGTGTGTGTGTGTGTGTGTGTGTGTGTGGTTTATTGTATAGCCCAGGCGGCCTCTCAGGAGCCAGGATTGCGAGTGTGCACCACCATTCCTGGTTGATTCTCAGTGTCTTCTGTGGAAAGTGGAGATGTTGGCACACGAAGCATTGTCCTGAGGGTTAGTGAGATGGTGTGGTGATTTCCACCTGGTGCCCAGCCGAGGGCAAATACCCATGTGGTACATCTTTAAGACTACACTGTCTTGCTTAATGAAGGAGCTTGTTCGACCAGCTAGCGAGACAGCTCAGTTAAGAAATGGTGTGGCCCAAGTTTGGTTCCCAGAACCCACATTGAAAGCTAGAATGGTGGCACATTCCTGTATCCCAGTGCTTAGAAGGCAGAGACAGGTGGAATCCTGGGGTTCACTGGCCAGGCAGCCTATTTGGCAAGTCCAGACCACCAAGAGACCCTGTCTCAAAGAAAAGAAAAAAGAGGAGGCACCTGAGGAGTGATTTCTGAGATTACTTTCTGGCTTTTACACACTGGCACACACTCATTCAAGGTGCTCGTTGAGGCCCAACGAGGTCAAGGGGCTGGCTCCTGAGCCCATGTTCCAGTTGGCCAGAGCTTGTGGCGTGCCCATTTCCATATAAACAGGAAGAGGTTAACTGTTGGAGTCACTCCGCCTGAAGCAGAAGGCCAGCACTAAAACCCAGTCTCCCCGAAAGGTTACGTTTTTGAGCCTACATTGTCTCCTCCCCAGAGTGGACTGCATTTGTAGCCCAGTGGGGAAGGATTTTGTTTTGTTTTGTTGAGGCAGGGTAGGCCGGCCTGCTTTCCATCCGTCCTGTCCTTTCCTCCCTTCCTTCCTTCCTTCTTTCCTTCCTTTTTTTGGGACAGGGTCTCTCTATTATATAGCTCTAGCTGTCCTGGAACGTGTTATGGAGATCAGACTGGCCTGGAACTCACAGAGCGTGCTGGGATTAAAGGTGTGCACCCCATGGCTGACCAGCCAATGGGGAGTTGTTTATTTTTAAGATCCGATGGGATTCTTGAGCACTCTTCTTCAGACAGCTTGGATCGGGGAAGGCACCGGCCTGGAAGCCAGAGGCCTAGAGGGCTGTCCTTCCTTCCACCTTGGACTGCCTGAGCAGCTGGGGAGTCCCACTGCCACTCTGTACCCCAGTTTTCCCTCTATGAAGTAGGACCAGCCGCACCTTCCACAGAACTACCAGTGTGATCTTTCATGAGGCCTTCCCAGAATGCCTTGGGGGCGTCCTGTTGAGGACCCCGCAGAGCAAGGCTGGGGAGATCTCTGTAAGAGAGGAGGAGTCCTAACCCTTTTGTTTTCTTTTCTTTATCTCTAAACCAGGGTCATGATGTTTGAAGGAAAAGCCAATGAGAGCAGCCCAAAGCCAGCTGGCCCCCCTCCAGAGAGAGACATTGCCAGCCTGCCCTGAGGAGCCGCCTGGACCTTCTGGGCTGCCAACCCCGACCCCTCTGCTTTCTCACTGTGAGCTGTCTTCTGTGTTTGTCCTATGGACTCACTTCTTCTTCCTTTTCATTTCTTCACGGAAGCACATGTTACCTGCCTTAATGAGACTGGGGACTCCTGAGCCTCGGCCCCTCCTCTCTGCTCCCTGCTGCCCTTCCCCCCCATACAGAAGGGCTGACAGCAAACCAAAACTGGAAAGGGCACGGAGCCTGCAAGCCTGAGTTCCCATGTTTGAAGAGGGTCCTGCCCACCAGTTCATCTCTCATCTTTCTAGGTTTCTTTCTTTTTTTTTTTTTTTCTCTTCGAGACAGGATTTCTCTGTGTAACAGCCCTGGTTGTCCTGGAACTCACTATGTTGACCAGGTTGGCCTCGAACTCACAGAGATCCGCCTGCCTCTGCCTCCCAAGTGCTGGGATTAAAGGCATATGCCACCACGGCCTGGCCTCTTTCTAGGTTTCTAAGCTAAATTCAGACTGCAGGTTTGGCCCTGGTGGGCCCCTCCCCTCTCCCCACCCTCAGAAGATCCTGAGCAGGCACAAAGGCCCAGGGCAGCTTCATGCTTCTGGTGTTCCTGGTGCCTCCCAGACACCACTGATGCCCCTTGGTTCTCGCCGCTCTCCATCCTCAGGGACGTAACACACAGTGAGGAGGAAAGCACAGGCATTGGAGCCCTTCACAGGAGCCAGAGGGAGCCCTGGCTTTGCTCCTGACCCCACCTTTACAGACAGCGGATGGACGGTAGAAAGGAAAGGGCCTGGGCGGCAGAGGGAGGACGGTGGCCCGGGGGAGCCATTCCAAGGAGGATGCTGAGGGCTCCAGGGCAGAAAGTCGGGCGACCGTGGTGAACCTCAAACAGAAACCAGCTGTCTGGTTGTGAAATGCCCAGATTCAGCTGTTTACAGTCCACCCCCACTGCCCTTCCTTCACTCGCTCCCTCAGCAGTTATTGATCGAGTACCTATTACAAGCTTTAAGTCCTCCTGTGTGCTACGTCCAACTCATAGCTCCCTTTGCAAGTCACTCCAGACCTGGAGTCTGGCGATCAGACCAAGGGCATCTGGCAGATTTTAGCTGGGTCAGTCCCCTCTTTTCACTGTGCTGACCTAGGGTTAAGTACCTTGCGGAAAGGTCAAGGGGTTCACCTAGATATTCGAGAGTGTGACTGGAGGCCAGGTACTCAGGTGCCCTACCCCCTGCTCTAGGCTGCATTGGTCAAAGGGAAGGGTGAGGAAGACTGTCTCCCAGCCTGGTCCTTGAGGAAGGTTTCATCCCCTCCAAAGACCTTGGGTCAGGACTCACCCTCCGAGGGTCTCCAAGTTGGCAGCGGGGTTTGAGTAAGGGCCAAGCCTCCCTTTGGCATCTGTCTTCCCTGTAGCTTCTTGATGATCCTCAGAGACCATTTCCAAGAATTAGTGCAGTGAAGCATCAACCTTGACCCATCTTACCTGAGTGGGAACCTCAGCCTTGACCCTGCCTGTGTTCTGGAATCTTTTCTCCTGGGCACTCGGGACGAGAGACAGTCATTCATCAACTGTATTCATCAAGCACCCACTATATGCCCCGAGTCCAGAACCCAGCAGTGAAATAGACTGACACATGAAATTTATGTCTACTGGGGAGTCACACCCAGCCAGTGACAGTGTGATGTTAGGAAATTGGGGGGGGGGGTTGGCAGCGCCAGCAAGGGGTCGGTATCCTGTAGTGCCAGGACTTCCAGCTGGCTCACGACTTGGCAAGAGTGTTAGAAGAGCCTAAGCCCTAAGTGGAAAAGGACTGGGCACTGTTCGGCTAGTGTGGTTTTCCTGGGGCCCTCAGTGTCCCACAGTTCAGTACCCAGATGCTGTCCCCACAGCAGCTTGAGAGTACAGCAAATGAAATGGCCTGCTCCAGTTAATCCTCTGGTTTCAACCAGTCCAGCTCAGGAGAGATCATTTAGCTATGACTGGCTGATTTTCAGCCTAAGGAGCTGCTTCAAATGCACAGTCTAGTTTATGTTTAACCCCAGCATTCCTCCTGTAAATATAAACTCCTGTCTACCCATACCCTGTCCGCTGACTTTTTTTTTTTTTTTTTTTTAAGATTAGCATCTTTCCCCATGCCTTCTGCCTCATTCTCTGGCTGGGCTGGGACCTTGCACTGTATTCAATGTGTCCAATTTCCTGTGATAGGGGAAGGCAGAACCAGTCAGTGGATTCATAACTTATGAGATTACACACCACCTCCATAAAGGAGAACAAAGGAATGCGCCTTTGACCTCTGCAAGGTACAGGAAGAGGCTCTAACTGAGAGGGACCCTGTGAGTCCCTTCAGTGGTCTGTAGATTGACCCCTGGGAAGAGTCTTAAGAATAACCCTTAGAGGGGAGGAGTTTGCATATATTTCAAGCTGTATCTATCTGTTGGCTCCAGGGTTCTTAAATCTCTCTTGTTAAGGGCTTAGCTTTCTTGGGACATCAGCTGTCTTTGTTTCTGAAAAAAGACCAAATCTAACTGGTGTAACCAGCCACATGGGGACTGCCAAGTATGGCTTTGTCCCTGTGACTCAAAGGACTTTGTCAGGTAGATGTGGGTGAATGACATTATGTGTGTGCATGTGTATGTATGGGTGGGATGTCATCTCCTGCAGACTGGAATAAAACTAGACCAATTTATCAGTGTCTTTGTGCTTCTTGGGGATGGCTCTGGGCTCAGCAAATTCAGAAGGTAGCTGACACAGGGACCAGTTGAACAAGTGTGTCGCAGACAGACAGTTGACTTCATCTGACTACATGAAGACTCACTTCTACTTGGTTTGCTGTGGTTGTTTTGGAGACGGTTTCTCTTCATAACAGCCCTCCCTGGCTGTGCTGCAACTCGCTTTGTGGACCAGGCTGGCCTCAAACTCAGAGATCTGCCTGCCTCTGCCAGTGTGGGGATTAAAGGCCCGCGCCACCACGCCCTGCCATTACAGTGAGAAGAGGCTTGGAGCACACAGACAGACAACTTGACAGAATGTGTCCTCTGGAGCTGACACACCAGCACCCAGTTAGGACCTCTACATTTATTATTGCAGTTAGCACATCTTCAACATTAGTTAGCACATCTAGATCTTAACCATTCCTGGCTGAGAGGAATAATTTAATTGCTTTGTGTGGAACTCCCTTATTTCATTACACAATTCATTTTTTTCAGACAGGGTCTCATGTAACCCAGGACAGCTAAAGATTGCTATGTAGCCGGGGATTACCTTGAGTTCCTGATCAGTTCAAATGAGCAGAGATGACAGGCACGCATCGCCATAATTGGGTTTCGATGAAAAGTTACTAAACCCCTAGGTGACTAGAAACCACCTCGAAGGTTAAAGGCGACACTGAAGAGTTACGGCTGTGGGTACTTTTCCAGACTTTGAATGACAAAACGTGCGCCGCCCAAGGAAAGACACCTACAGAACTCCAGCGCGTGCGCGGGCCTCTGGAAGGAGGGCGGGCGCCGGCGCGCCTCATGGCCACGCCCCCTGCCGGAACTAGCCAATGGGGCCGGGTGGACTGGCAAGCGCGCGACTTCTGATGAGTCCGCGGCTGAATCGGACCGCACCGCAACCAGCGTGGGTGACGTCAGCCATGCGCGCCGGAAGCGCGCGTCTCCCGCGCGCCGCTGCCGCTAAGGGAAGGAAGTTGGGGCCCGAGCGGCCTGGGCTCTGTTGGGAAGGCCGGGGGCCGCAGCGGCAGCTACCTGGATACCCTGAAGGCGGCACGATGGGAGACGATATGGATGCCATAGTCCCCGAGCGGGAGATGAAGGTTAGAGATTGGCCGGGGCCTCCCTGCCTGCGGTAGTCCTGGAGTTGCCCTGGAGCGCCCCCCGCTCCGGCAGCTGCTCCAGCAGCTTGCCGGGTTCAGAGCGCTCGCCTCACAGAGCGTCCGCAGTCCCGTGCGTGTCGCGGGCGTAAGTTCTCTCCAAGTGCGGGCCACCTGTCCTTGGCGGGGCTTGGCCACGCCTCTTAAGTCCCCCCAGCTACTCTCATGTGTTGATCGCCATAGGAGTAACCACGACTTTTGTCTATTGTGTGCGAGGTACCGTGGCCATCGTCACTCTAGCCCCTGCCACTAGCTCATGAAGAGAGGAAATTGAAGGTCTCAAAGTAAATTCTCCAAAGTCACGTGACCAAAGCATTAAGTCTTATTTTTAGGCAGGGTATCTTGTAGTACAAGCTGGCTTCTAACTCTGTTTACTGGAGGTTGGTCTTGGACTCTTTAATTCCCCTGCTTCCACCTCCTAAATGCTGGGATTATTGGTGCGCATCACCACAGTTGGCGTAGACCCTCACTTCTTACACCGATACTTGGAGGTGGTCTAGACTACCCAAGGTGAAACCAAGAAACACTTTCTGACTTCCAAAACCCCTAGTTAATTAGATTAGAAAGACACTTTGGCACAAGAAATCAGCTTGAAGTTGGGAAACTAAAGGGAAGGCAAGTGGCTGTAATGATAAGGGGGATGCCTCCCCAACACATACTTCTGGATACCGTGTTAATAGTTGACTTGAATAATCTTGCTGAAAGAAAACACAGAGAACCGTAGACAGCTGGTAATGAGAGAATTGCAGGAAGGTGTTAGAATTTGTGTGAACAGTAAGTCACTAAAATGCATGTATGGGAGAGTGGTCCACACCATGCTTAGAAATCGTGCCTCTTTCTTGAGCACCAGAGCCTGTGCTGAGCCCCCAATGGGCATGTGCCATGTTCCTCAGATGTGCTGGGTAGAGAGGCCTTAGAACCTCAGAGTGAACAGCAGTGTTTGAGTGACTGTCAGTACCAGAAAGGAGAGCTTTTCTGTGCTGCTTCATTACACTGGCCCTCCACACAAAGGCCCTCAAGACCTAATAATATAGTCGTGACTATTAGGATGATAATCACAGAAAAGATAGATTTATTCCTTTATGAACCCATAGTGTGGTCCCATGGGGAGAGTTGTGTGAACCTTTGCCCACTGTATTCAGCTAGGATTAAGAATATTTCAGTCTACCTTTGAGTAAATATACATTAAACAAGGAAATTAGTATGTGTGGTTGTGCTCAACACCTTTTATGAGGCATACCATAAGGCTGTATGGTAATAAATTTTCTCTTGTAGCTGTCACATTCTTTTTATTGAAACCCTGACCTAAAGATAGGTTTAGCTAGGTAGGAGAACACAGATGCAGTTTAACAAAGTGATGACAGATTAACAAAGTGTGAGCTGTCAGATCCCCAGGAATTGGAGTTGCAGACAGATGTGAACTGCTATGTGAGTGCTGGGAATTGAACCCAGATCTTCTAGAAGAGCAGCCAGTGTTCTTGACCACTGAACCCTCTCTCCAGCCCTCTGTATTTCATTCCACAAAAGTTACTCAGTATTATGCCATGCACCACCAAAAGTATAGAGAGTCTAAAAACAGAAAATTGTTGGCCTCAGGGCAATAAGTGTATTTTTGTTATACTGAATGGTATATGGTGTTTCTGGACTATAATAGTGAACATGATTTAATTTCTTCCTTTCTGAAAATTGATCTTGTTTCATCCTCCGAAACAGGACTTTCAGTTTAGAGCATTGAAGAAAGTGAGGATCTTTGATTCTCCGGAAGAATTGCCCAAGGAGCGCTCGAGTGTGCTCGCCATATCCAATAAGTATGGTTTGCTCTTTGCTGCTGGCGCCAATGGCTTGTGTGTTTTTCCTACTAAAAGCCTTCTTATTCAAAACAAACCCGGAGATGATCCCAATAAAATTGGTAAGCACTTTGGTGTACACAGCACAGCAGAGGTGGGGCCGTGGTGACGTGCTGATTGATGTATGGCCTTCCTGAGGCACAGTTTTAATGTGAAAATTAAGATTGCTTTTGGGCATAAGTTTGCCTCACAGAGTAGGGTGCCAAAAGCCTTTCTGAGTTTTCTCTTCAGCCTCTGTTGCTTCTGCTTCTGTGAGCTGTTCCTCCAAGATCAGGGGAAGAAGAACTTACTATTGTGTCATGCTTTTCTTTAACTCAGTTGAACTTGGACTCTGGCTGTCTAGGAGAAGGCATGTTAGAGCCAACCCAACAGATGGGAATGTGTACTTGGGGCACTGTATCAAAAGCATTTCCAGCAAGGGCAATAGGAAGAATCTTGGGATATTTAATGCATCACTACCTCCTTATAGGAAAGTTAAGTTGAGCACTAGTGGCCTTTAATCCCATCCCCACCCCCAGAGTCAAAGGCAGGAGATCTCTGTGATTCTGAGGCCTGCCTGGTCTACAGAGTGAGTTCCAGGACAGCCAGGGCTACACAGAGAAACCCTGTCTGGAAGAGAGAGGGGGGGGGCAGAGGGGAGGAGAGGGGAGAGAGAGAGAGAGAAGGGGGAGAGAAGGGAGGGAGGGAAGGGGAGGGGAAGAGGAGGGGAGGGGAGGAGAGAGAAGGGGGAGAGAAGGAGGGAGGGAGGGAGGGAAAACCAGTTAGCAGGAAAGTTAAAATTAGTTCTTATAACTAAGGATCCAAGGGTATATGTTTATATAGATGACAAAATGTTTCAATTGACTTGGATAAAGGATTATGGCTGTGTGCCTAGAACATGCTGTTTTCTGCTTTGTCTTTTCTGTTTTCATAGTTGAGACAGTCCAAGGCTTGAATGTCCCTCTGAAATTCCCAGTACATCACCTGGCACTGAGCTGTGACAACCTCACACTCTCTGCGTGCATGGTGTCCAGTGAATACGGCTCCATTGTAGCTTTTTTTGACGTTCGTACATTTTCAAATGAGGTAAGCTACTGTAAACTGTATTTTCAACATGGGAACAAAGAGATTTCCTCATAGTCAGCTAACTTGGAAGCCTTATAAACTGATGACAGGGCTGTTCCATGGTCTGGGTAAGGGGAAGGTTTTTATTGTAGGTATAAGAGTGTGAACAGCCAAGAGGCATTTGGAAGAGTCCTGAGCAGAGAGAGAAAGAAGTAGACTGAACGTGGCCTGCAGACAGGGCGTGGCCTGCAGACAGGGCGTGGCCAGGGCTGTCTTCAGGAGGGGAGAACAGCAGGGGATGGAGGACAGCGAAAACAAAGTGAGCAGAGCCGGGGGCAGCATGCTGAGAACTGAGCAGGTTACTAGCGGAGGGAAGGCTGTGATCTGGAAGTTCAGGACAGGGAAAGAGGTAGACGCCAGCATGGACCCTGAAGTGTATAGCAGGTACTTAGGTTACGGAAGGAACCTGGAGGCCAGTGTGAGCTCTGAAATGCTAATAGGCACCACAGATAGCCTGTGTCTCTTCAGAGGGGAGGGAAACGATTCCTTTTGGTAGATGAGAACCGGTTTCATAATTTCATAAGGAATGCTGACTTTATCTAACCACCAGAAATCCTCCTATCGTCTTGGTTGAGCCTATTTCTGGATATCTGCTCTGCTGTTTGGAGTCTGGGGAGTTGGAGTAGTTTCCTTTGGACCTGACAGATGCATGTCAGGTTGACATGGGAAGTCTTTCTGGATTAAAATACAGATTATAAAAAAAAATATTCCTTAGATGTAGACTCATAAGTCTTTGAGACAGAAACTATTTTAGCAAATTATTTTATGATATGTCCTGTACTAAGTTAACATTCCTCATTTACACACAAGACTACCACTTGAGGAGGCCTAGAGATATGCTCTGTGACAGACCAAGGAGCTAATGGTGAAGGTCTGGTATCTGTGTTGTTTGATGTAGGCTCTCCTTATGCAGGGTTCTTCCCACCCAGGTAGGTTATTCAGTAGTAGTGTAGAACACTGGCTATGTGTTTGGAATTCGGTGTTTTCGTATGGCTTGTCTTTTTGCATGCTTCCTGTAGTAGGTACAGTGTCTTCATTTTACAGATAGACAGATTTCAAAGAATTTGACACCAGCCAAGCACGCTAGCACACACCTGTAGTCCCTGGACTAAAGTTGACAGGTAGTGAGTAGGAGACTAGGCCAGGCTATAGAACCTGTCTCAAAAAACAGAACAAATAAAACTCACCCCACCAAAGCCAAAGAAGGAATCAAAAAGCCTAGCCAAGGTCATTAAGCAAATCCAAGACTTCTGCTTTTGCATATCCCTACCAGCAATCCCTCTGAGTGGAGTGGAGTGATTGATGGTCATTTCTAAGTTCTGTTGAATTGTTTGTAACAAGTAGATTGCGATGCAGAGCTACTTCTTTTCCCCCTTGGTTCTGAAGAAATGTAGAGTTTGATTTAAGAAAGAATGCATATTCAGTCATTTCCTCTGAATCCTAAGTGCCTTTGTGTTTGTTAATTTATTTATTTTGCATTTGTGCCCTTATTTTAACAGGCTAAACCACTGAAACGTCCATTTACCTATCACAAGCTTTCAAAGGATGCAGATGGGATGGTGACTGATATGAAGTGGAACCCCACTGTCCCTTCCATGGTGGCAGTTTGTCTGGCTGATGGCAGTATTGCTGTCCTGCAAGTTACAGAGGTGGTGAAAGTGTGTGCCACTCTTCCTCCCTCGGCAGCGGTTACATGTGGTGGGTAATAAAGGCTTCCTGCAGTTACATGTGGTGGGTAATAAAGGCTTCTTGCCCATAAAGTACAGTAACAGCAAGCTACTTAAAAAGTAATTCCTGGAAGTAAAAGTGGATGGCTTTCTTGGCTTGTTTGGATTGCTGGGGATGGGGAGAGGGTAGAAATTGAGAATATTCTTTATTTCTATAGTTAATGGTCTTGAAGCCAAACAGCATACATGAGTTAATTTGAGTGTGCTTAGGCTATTGAGAGAAAGAAATACTTAAGCACAGCACATTGAAAACTAGATTTCTGAGAATATTGTTTGTGAGTCTAAATAGTGGCCATCTGAAAGTCATTTGTACCTATGGAAAGCACTAGAAGTAACAAGTAGACACAACAGGATGCTTTCTTGGTTCTTTAAACACCTTCATTCTCCTTGTCTTGCACAATTCTACTGGAAAGCATTCTTAGCTTTCAGTTGATGGTCTGGTGGTCAGCCGCAGTTGCCTGTATTGTGAGATGGCCGTCCTTGGGGATGGGCTATGTAGCGCTCTCGATCCTGGGTTGCTTCTCTTCACTGGTTTTCATTGGCAGCATTGTCTTCGCAGTGTGCTGGAGCCCCAAAGGAAAGCAGCTGGCGGCAGGAAAGCAGAACGGAACTGTGGTCCAGTATCTTCCCGTGAGTTCCTGTTTCCTCTAAGTCACCACTGTGGAGGTGCTTCGGGAACATCTTTGTGACTTTTTTTTCCCCCTATTAATAAACCATTTGTGACTGGGGATATCTTAGGTTAGGGTGCTTGCCTAGTATGTGTGAGGCCTTGGGTTCAATCCTTAGCACTACAAAATAAACAGAAAGGAATTTATATTCATTGATAAATCTCTCCATGACTGAAGAAAAGATTTGCTCTTTTTGCTCTGTCCCTGGTCCTTCCAGAGACTCCAGTGTTGTGTGTAGTCAGGCCTCCTCCTTTCTATGGCTGCTCATACAGATTGCTGGGACGGACGGGCACTGTTGCTGTTTTCCATAAAGTAAAATGTGGTCCTACACTATTCACTTTTCCCCTAATCAGTCTGTTTGCTCAGCTTAAAGAGAAATAATTTTTAATCCTGCCATTCAGAAACAATGATATTTTAGTAGAAAATTTTTCCAAATCCTTTTGAGACGTGGTCTCAGTATGTAGTTCAGTTGGTCTTCAAACTTTTCCTCCTCCAGCTTCTGCCTGCTAATGCTGGGTCACTGGCATGTGCCTTGGCTTCTTAAAATACATCAGGAAATGTTGGAATAAAACAGAAGGAGGCATTTCTACTCACAGCCATTCTTTGTTATTTGGCTTTGTTGGAACCTTTCATGTCTGTGAAGGAAGTCTGGTTAGCAGGCTGCATAGAAGGGCATTTCTGTACAAACAGCTCAAAAAGAAAAGGAGTTGATGAAGAAGCTATTACCATGACAGATTGACCCCAGTTAAAGGGCAGTTTTTATATATCAACCATCTTATGTGGGCAGCAAACAAAACATGTTCTTGTTGCATTCTTCTCAGGGATTCTTTTTGTTTGTTTTACTTTTTTGAATTATTTATTTTGCATGCATTTGTGTTTTGCCTGCATGTGTGTCTTTGTGAAGGTGTCAGAACCCCTGGAGCCAAAGTTACAGACAGAAGTGGGTTGTCATATGGGTGCTGGGAATTGAATCCAGGTTCTCTAGAAGAGCAGTCAGTGCTCTCAACCATTGAGCCATCTCTCCAGCCCCTGTTTGTTTGTTTTTTTTTAAAGATTTATTTATTAACTTATTTATACAGTGTTCTGTCTGCACATATCCCTGCAGGCCAGAAGAGGGCACTAGATCTCATTACAGATGGTTGTGAGCCACCATGTGGTTGCTGGGAATTGAACTCAGGACCTTTGGAAGAACAAGCAGTGCTCTTAACCTCTGAGCCATCTCTCCAGGCCCCCCCCCCCCATTTTGTTTTTAAAGACAGGGTCTCACAATGTACACAAGGCTGTGCTTGAACTCAGAGATCCACCTGCCTCTGCCTCAGGAATGTTGGGATCAAAAGAGTGTGCCATCATCATGCCTAGCCAAAAAAAAAAAAAAAATTATTTTATGATTCTGAGTGTTTGCCTGCATGTGTCAATATGTACCACATGCAGGCATTGTGCTTTTGGAGGGCAGAAGAGAGCCATCAGACCTGGAACTGTAGTTAGGAATGTTTGGGAGCTATCATGTGGGTGCTAGGAATCAAACTCAGGTCCTCTGCAAGAGCAGCAAATGCTCTCACCTGCTGAGCCTCTTTAGTAGCTGGGAGTACAAGCAGTCACCTTTGCTTGTTGGCAAACATTATGTGAGATTGGATGCAGAGTCTTGGGAAGCATTAGCTTCTAAAATGATAATGCAGTTTATTAACTTACTGCTTGGCTGTTTACTTGCTTGTTTATGTGTTTGCTTGGTTTTGAGACAGGATTTCTGTGTAATCCTGACTGTCCTGGAACTCTGCTATGTAGGCCTGGCTGGCCTCAAACTCACAGAAATCTGCCTGCCTCTGTCTGGGGGATGGGGCTGGGATTAAAGGTATGTGCCACCATGCCTAGACCTGCTTTTTTATTTTTAATAACTTAGTTTACTGAGGTCTTCTCTCCAGTTCTATGCAGGGAGCTACTCTCTCTCAGTGCCTCCATAGTAGTCTACTGTGTAGACAGACTCGAGTGATCTTACTGATGGTCTTCTGTGGATGCTGCTGCATTGAGCATGCTCATCAGCTGCATCTGAAGGTGTTGATGGGAGCAGTTCCCTGGTAGGGTATGCTAGGAGTAGATGGCTCTCTTTGTTTAGAGGGTTTGGAGGAGAGATAGAACACCAGTTTCTAGAGCATCTGATTGGATTTGAGTTTCATTGATTTAACCATTGTTTCATTTTACATTTTTCAAATCTCTTTCAGACTTTGCAGGAAAAAAAGGTCATTCCGTGTCCTCCATTTTATGAGTCAGATCATCCTGTGAGAGGTAACAACTACTCTACTTACTTTCTGGCCTCTACTGCAGCTGTTCTAGCCATGTGAGATCCTCCATCCCTGCTCAGGCTAGTGTAGGAGCCAGTTCCCATTTAATATCATGAGTTATTCAGTGTAATAGCTTGAAATATATCTTGCATTTTTTTAAGAATTCATTTTCCCTAATAATAATCCTGTAGAAAACCACTACTTATAAGAAACTGGGCTAATTGATGCCTTTGCAACTGTGAATTATCCTTATTTAGTGGAGTATGAACCTTTGATAAAGCCATAGTACTTTTGGGTTTTTTTGGTCTGAGCTAACTCTTGTAGCCCATGGTGACTATTCCAAACATGTGATGTTTTTTGCTGTATCTTCTTGCTGAGATTGGTGACCTAGGAATTAGGGGTGTGTGTCTTTCAGTTCTGGATGTGCTGTGGATTGGTACCTATGTCTTCATGATAGTCTATGCTGGTGCAGATGGGACCTTGGAAACCTGTCCAGATGTGGTGGTAGCTTTACTCCCGGTAAGCATGTGAAAAGAACATCTTTGTTTTCTGAGAGTCACAAAAATTTTCTAGTGAGCTAACTTAGAATTAAATTCCTTTCCTTATTGGCTGTGATGGTAGAGTCAGGTGTAAGGTTTCAATGTTATACCATGGGCCTGGGGCCAAAATTGTGGTGTCTATTTAAGAGCATTGTCTTAGTTACTGTTTATTGCTGTGAAGAGGCACCATAACCAAGGCAGGCAACTCCCCTCCCCCCCCCCCCCCAAGACAGGGTTTCTCTGTGTAGTTTTGGTGCCTGTCCTGGAACTGGCTTTGTAGACCAGGCTGAGTAGGTCGCTCATGTGTATCCTGTAGCAGGCTGTGGCAGAATGCAGTTCCTGCTCAGTTTGCCTGGCAATGGGTTTCTGTTCCTATGAGTGCCCTTCAGAGCTCATCCCTGTGTTTGTGCACAGGTTTTGCATCAGGTGTCTGATGAAGCTTAAGTGATTTTGTCTTGAGATTGTGAGCTGGGTAGGAGTCCAGAAAAACTGCAGTAAGATTTCTCTCCCCTCCTCTTGTTTATAGAAAAAAGAAGACAGGCACCCAGAGATATTTGTGAACTTCATGGAGCCCTGCTACAGCAGCTGCACAGAGCGACAGCATCATTACTACCTCAGTTACGTCGAGGAGTGGTGAGCAGAGCGTTCCTGCTGCCACTGTCAGGCCCCACTCAGTCACTGAGTTCCATAGGGACTTGTTCAGAAGAGAGGTCTCGCTGTGTTGTTAGTGGATGGGGATCATGTCCTTGTGGCTGCAGTGGCTGCTTCCCAGTCCTGATGTGGTTATAGCAGTGTGTACTAATCTGCAGAGGCCAGTAAATGTGTGCTCACCCCTCCCCCACCTGTTTGTTTTTTGAAGCAAGGTCTCACTGTTAGTCCTGGCTGTAAAGACAAGGCCAGCCTCGAACTCAGAGAGGTCTGCCTGCCTCTGCCTCGGCGTGGGGCTAGGATTAAAGGCATGTGCCACCACAAAGTTCAGTTTTCTCAAATACAGTGAGTGACTACAGTGAAAATACTGATTGGTTTGTTTGTTTGTTTGTTTGTTTGTTTTGAAAAAGAGTCATTTGTAGCTCAGACTAAGATGAAATTAATAGATCCTCCTGCCTCAGCCTTCTGAGTGCTGGGATTACAGGCATCAGCTGTCATGCCTGGATTAAAAATACTGATACTTAAGGAACTCATTCAGGGTTTCTCCAAGAACAGTTTACCTTTGAGAGCCCATTGGAGCTTCTCCTCTCGAGCTGGATTTCCCTGCCCTGGGGCAGGGTTCTTGTGAGCCCTGCCTTGGTTCTGTGTGTCCTTGTCTTTCATGGATAGTAGTGGGCAGGTGTTGCAGGGCTTTTTGGAACTAAAAAGCTCAGCACTACTGCATCACACACCTTCCATCCTCTCTTCAGTCTTGAGGAGACCTTGCCCTGTGTTGTAGACTCAGTTGGGGTTGAGCTGTTGGTGGACTTGAATGTAATGGCCTTTCGGGTTTGTTCTTAAGGGATTTAGTGCTGGCAGCATCCGCAGCGTCAACAGAAGTTAGCATCCTAGCTCGACAAAGTGATCAGGTAAATTTCTCCTTTTTTGTCACTTTTATGTTGAATGATGCTATTTTGAGAGAGGTCAAGTGGAGGTGACTGGTTAAGACTGTAATGCGTGTCCTTTTCAGTGACCTTCTAATGCAAAGACTAAATGATAACATGTCACGGACAGCAATAGCCTTCTCTGCCTTTCCCCTCCCCTCTCATATACATGGTTTTACAGTGTTGGGGATTGAACCCAGAGCTTTGTGCACATGCAGCAAGCACTCTGCTGACTGGTCTACACCCCAACCTTGGTATCTCCTCTTGTTACACTCGCCCATTTTTATAGTGTCTTTTCATCTTTCTGTTTGCAGTCCCCAAACTCCCATACTGCCATTTTCTGCATGCTGGCCTGTAATGGTTGTCAGATCCCTTTTGTTTTGCTTATAGGCTTGTGGTTTTTATTGTTGTTGTTGTTTGTGTTTTGTGTTTTTTTGTTTTTTTTTTCGAGACAGGGATTCTCTGTGTAGTTTTGGAGCCTGTCCTGGATCTCACTCTGTAGCCCAGGCTGGCCTCGAACTCACAGAGATCCACCTGGCTCTGCCTCCCGAGTGCTGGGGTTAAAGGCGTGCGCCACCACTGCCAGCTCTGCCTATAGGCTTACTTAAGAGTTAGAGTCAGCTTGGTTTGCAGCCTTGTAACTGTGCCTTGAGTACTCCTCAGCACAGCCATGCAGTATGAGTGTGTGCTCTTCTTGGCCTGAACTGCTTCTGTTTTTCTAGCTTCATCGCTTGTCTCCTGTTCCCTCTGACTCATGCTGCCCAGTTGGCCAAGACAGAAAGCTAGACAGAATGTTAATGAATCATAAGACTCAGGAGTCGTTTGTTGAATGGAATGGAGCCCAGCCATGAAAATAGGAGCAAGAGGGATGTTACTGGAAAGATGTAGAAGCCTCTCAAGGAGTATAAGCAGCAGGACTGGCCAGTGTGAGACAGGAAACAAGGCTTTAAGGTTGCCTTCTGTCTCAGCAACTAGTGACACAGGCCCCTGCATCTTTAGGAACTGCCAGATTGTGGCAGGCAACTGAAACTTAGAAGACGGGACGGACACACCAGAACCACTCCCATGCTGGGCTACTCCTGGCTTTAAGGTGGGGTTCCAAGGGTCAGAGTCTCCCCATCAGCACAGGAAGCTGAACCACGCCATGTATTCTCTGTTGATTCACCGGGGCCGAGAAGAAGCAGTGCAAAATGCTGAGCAACACAACACACATTTTTCTGCTTGTGCATTGTTTTTCTTTCTTTTCAGACTACTTGGGAGTCTTGGCTACTGGAGGACTCGAGTCGAGCTGAACTGCCTGTGACAGACAAGAGTGATGATTCCCTGCCCATGGGCGTTGCCATAGATTATACCAATGAAGTGGAAGTCGCCATCAGTGAGTGTTGTTTAGTGTTTGCTGCTCAATAATGGTTGATCCTTAGAAGCCATTAGCACATTTCTAGCTGCAGAGTGGTGGAGGGTGCGTCATGACAACGCAAGGCTACCCAAAGATGGTTACTCACTAATGAAACCACAACCAGACCCGGTTCATGTGTCTGCATTAGAGTGAATGTGTAATATTTGGTGCCCTAGTGACCTCACGGGAGTGTCACCGTCAGTCAGCTGGCAGTGCACCCGGCACTCAGGGAGGAATGAGGGAGAGGAGCTCCAAGCTCGTGTTTGCCACATGGGGCCTGCGCATGTTCTCTGAAGAGTCCTTTTCCCTGGGGAGGTCAGCAGTGTGACTACAGTGACTGAGGTGTGAGGAGGCAGCTGAAGAAGATTTGCCTGCTTCAACTTCACCAGACAGAGAGCTGTCTTGGTGCAACACTTTGAGCTCCATGTCCTTTCCCTGGTTTGGTAGGCATATTTGGTCCGATGAGTATTACAATCAATCCACACGAGTCTATTAAAATGGTAACAGAATTTATTAAGATATAAATTGAGGAAATACACTCACGATTATAGAACGGAGTAGACAGCGAAAGTTGTCTATTGATCTGACCGGGAGTAGGAGCAGGAGCTCTTTCTCCAACCCCTTATAAGAGGTCACATATAATGTCATGAAGCACCACCTCCTCTGGGCCGTATAGCCAAAGTCATGGGCGGAGCAAATACCACTACAGATGAGCTTGCACTCCTGATATGATACTCTTGTGTACTTAAAATTCAACTGTGAATGAGTTTAAAGTAGCTTAACTCACTCTGTGTGCGTGTGTATGTGTGGTGTGTATGTGGTGTGTATGTGTATGTGGTGTGTGTTTGTGTTAGTGTGTGTGTGTGTGTGTGTGTGTGTGTAAGAGCCATCTTTTCAGTTCAGTCCCAGACCTGGCATCGACCAGAGACTCCTCTTGTCCTGGTAGTGCTGAACCTACCTCTCGAATAGAGAGAGCCTGGGGGAGTACAGGGCTGGCATACAGGGTCCAGCAGGATGTGATGGGATAGTGACAGGAGCTCTTGCTGTAGCTGCTGCATGCAAGGCTGTTCACATCTGAATCAGCTACTGTGGAAAGGAGCCCCTCAGGACCTCTTCAGGGCAATCTGCCCTTGTAGGCCCAGGTGGCCCTTTAACACCTTTGTTTTCTTTTTTGACAGATGATGAAAAGACACTTCCTGCTGCTCCGGTTCTCCTGTTACTTTCAACAGATGGTGTGCTTTGTCCATTTTACATGATCAATCAAAATCCTGGGGTCAGGTCCCTAGTCAAGACCTTAGAGCTGGTCTCGGTAGAAGGAGAGCGGCAGCCCAAGTCATCAGGTGTGTGCCTCTGCCTGCTCTGGCAGCCCAGGGACATCTCCAAGACGAAGGTGACTTAAGATGTGGTCATCTATACACCATCAGTCTACCAGAGGAAGGCTTGGGAACATGTGTGCACATCTTTGCCTCCGTTCATCCCTGGGTTCTTTCTCAACCTTTACAACACTTGACAGAGAAAGGCAGCAGTATTGATCCCAGCTCTCTTGTATTTAATCATGAGGGTTGGTCAAATGGGCAGTTGTTCATGGACAGTGAAAGATGTTTATTTAGAGCAAAGAGGTAAAAAGGTGTGTCATGAAGAATCACTGTGTGCTATGTTATGCTTACACCAGAAAGGGGCTGTTAAACTCTAGGGGCTATTTCTGGCTAATAGAAATATGGGGACTTTAGTGTCTCTGATTTATATTTCATTGTCTTTTGATTTGTTTTTTCCTCTTTGAAACATTGTCAGACAATAATATCTGTATTGCAGAAAAATTAGAAAATCCAAGAACAGATTCCATAGACTGTCGAGCATAGTCAGCATTTTGGGATGGAATCTTTGTGCACACATGGAGAGTGCAGCTTTTTTTTTTTTTTCAGCAGCATCATAACATTTGTGAGAAGAAATTGTCAAACTTGTTAGACGTACTTTTTTCCCCATATATTGACATTTTGCTATTTTCTCTTCAGTTCTGTGAGAATGTAACTGATACTTTTCTTCTTGTGTGGCTAAAATGCCCATAATATCACTAGTTCTGCCTAAAGACTGCTGACCATTAGGGTGGGATATGTTTGATTATGCTTGGTGACGTTTTCAGACTGTTCCATCAGCCCAAGTGACCATACATCACAGAGCACTCAGATACTTAATGCCCTGCCAACTGCTGTGTGACCCCAAGTGATCCACCAGGATGCTGGCATAAACTAGCAGTGCTGTATTGAATTTTGGTTGCCCGTGGGGTGTGCTCTTTGCATTATGTTCTCCCCTCACAGTTTTCATGAGCACCTATACCTAGCTCCACAAGTCTGTCTCGTGAGCAGGGCAGGCAGCCCATCTGGCTGACACCTGTGGGGGAGTTGATTCTGAGCACTGTTGTGCATGAGGGACTGAGAACCATCATCGAGTACCTGAGCACGACCATGGTAGTGGCCATTAGCCTTTTCTAGAGACTTTCTCCTTCCTTCTCATCTAGTGCAGAGGTGATGGCTATGCCCTGATGAGTGAGAACAGAGTCATGAAAGTAGGAGATAGTCTGTTCTGGTACCTGCCCCGTATGGCTAAGGTGTAGTGTAGGTTTGGACAACATCGATGGTTCTGTCTGTTTCCACACAGCAGCTCCAAGGATGTGTTGAATGGCCAGAAGTAATAACAAAGAGATGGTCTTCAAATACTCATTTCTAATTGCCCTGGGAGGAGTGTGTGCAATTTCTTTTCTTTTCTTTTTTTTCTTTCTCTCTCTCTCTCTCTCTCTCTCTCTTTT